GAAATAAACAGGTTCAAAATTCTCTGGTGCTCAAAAGAAGATATCTCCTGTGGGTTGCTGGGTTTGTAGGGCTGCTTGGTGGCCAAATGAAATTTGGCTCTGGAGGTGGCAGAAAAGGCTTCCAAATCTAACTCACTTTGGTTTTCTGAGGGATGGTATTTTTATATTCAGCAGCAATGTTCAGTAGAGTATGGCAAGAGAGGACACACAGTCTTAAAATTCTGCTTAGGTTCAAGGGGAAATAAAATCAGTGTTACCCTCTAATTCAGATGGCTGCTTTTCAGGGACTGGCTGAATAAGAAGCAACTCCCAGATTACCAAATGTATCTGAAAAATACCTGGTTGGTGTAAACAGATCCAAAAAGGCATTTAGTGGCACCAAGCACCTACCCCCTCAGTAAGAACTACAGGCACCTAATGTACTCACATATGTTTAAATGCATCTTTCAGGGCTCACGCCCCTTTGGAAATCTTACCCTGGTTCTGGGTAAGATTTTACCATGGGACTGGATCTTACCATGGGACTGTAACATCGTTAAGGTCTCCTAGTAACAGGCCAGGAATGTTGTTGTTAGTACTGGGATGAGTGACCAAATTTTAGTAGTAGTGTTTGTTGTAACAGAGGGGCAGGGGTATTGTATATCTTCAGAGCATTCATAAGATGTACTCTGTATGTGTTTTTTCTTTTCCCCAGGCCCGAGTGCTTGCCAAGTAACAGCGGGTCAGGAGCTTCTAAAGGCTGTGAGGCTGCTGTTGTCAGAGCCAAGCGCTGTGTCTCAGCTGTCCAGCATTTACCTCCCACAGTGTGATGCCGAGGGCGCCTGGAGGCAGGTGCAGTGCAGTGGCCCTCCCGAGCAGGCCTTCGAGTGGTACGAAAGGTGGATCGCAGAGAACAACGAGGGCCAACCCCTGCCCATTGCTGATCTGCTGAGCATCATAGCTGGATATAAAGAGGCGTCATCTAAGGGCTTTTCAGCTTTTGTTCAAGCTTTGTACGAGGCTGAGCACCAGAATGTCTTTCCCACATTTGCCACGTACTCCTCCTTCACGGATCTCCCACCTGAGGTGCTGGAGGGAAACTTGACCACGGCATCTCAGAACGTTTTGCTGGATCCATATACTTTCTGGCAGCTTCTGAATGGGCAGCTGACATATTACCCAGGACCCTATACTGATTTCAGTGCTCCATTGGGCCACTTTGAACTTCGTGATTGCTGGTGTGTTGATAGCAAAGGAGAAGAGCTGCAAGGAACAAAGGCAGGAGTGAATCAGGTTCCTGCATGTAAGTAACAATTTCTGGCACATAAGTAGTACTGTTTCTGGTCTTTTATGTCATGAGAGAGGGAAGTCCTTTCAATTGTTGTGAAGTAGCAGACAATAAGTTGTCAGAGAGGTCATCAGGACATTATTGCTGGACATCAGAGGGGGGGTTACTCATTTCTGGTAAATAAGTGGTGCCTCAGCTTTGGGAATAAATAGGAATAAAGTTGCATTTCAAGTTTGTGTAGATTTTATAATTTGGAGTTTGGACATATAATGCTTTTACAGAAGATACTTAGCCAGATGGCAAAGGACACTTTGAAGTCAGGAAGTGTGAAGAGTTGTATGGAAAATTCAGGATTACACAGTGATGTAAATGACTTTCAAGAATGCCTTAAAATAAAGCAAGAGGTATTTTCTTTGCTGATTCTTACTATGTGGTCAAGACTAATAGATATCTCCTCGAAGTCACTAGGAGAAGAGTGAGGCCAGCACTGAAGTTTGGTGATCCCTCTGTCTAGAGGCCTCCATCAAAGCTGCTGGGCCCTCTTTGAGGTTACTTCAGTAAATGACCTATATTATAAATGTCATCACTGGAATCATTCTCATCATGTAGCATTTTTCCAGCTGTGAAGAAGAGACAGAACAATGAATGGCAAACTACCAGAGATTCTAGTTCTGTGGGCAGGTGGAGAATAAAGGGGATGAAGCAGATTATCAGAGTCATTTTGGAGGAGCAGCTTTCACGGAGCTGGTTCAGTGTGTTGAAATACCCTTTCTGAGTCAGTAGATGTATGGAGAAGACAGGTCAAGCTGAACCCAAGGGATGTGTCTTCATTTTCCTTTCTGACTCTCACTTCTGATCATCCACAGTTTTTTATGGCAGCAACTGAAGGAATGTTTTGTGGAGACATATTAACTCTGTTCATAACCAATGAGGACTTAATTTAAAATCATGAAACATTAGGACTAGGACTTGGAGAATGTTTGGGTGAATCCTGGTACTCTCAGACTCTTGCTGTTAAATAGCTAAGCATTTAACAAGACAAGTCTCCTTCCCTTGCTTCATTACACAACTCAAAACTGAGCTAGTGCAGAAGGAAGCAGACCATGCTAATTAAAATACCAGCTAGTTTTCACGTGAAAACCTTTACTGGATGTAGATGAAAGTTGTTAATATACCTTTGTTTCTGCAGGTCCTGGTATATGTGAAGGTGTGAGGCAGAAAGCCATGAAATTTATGGAGGAGGCAGAGCAGCTCATCTTAGCCTCAAATGAGTCCCACTTTGCTTTTGGAGAGAGCTTCTTGATGGCAAAAGGGATACAGCTCACAGACAGGGACCTCCTGCGCTCTGCTCGGCCCTATGAGTCACAGACACTGATCTCCCAAAAGCTGCTCTCAGGCAGTGACTCTGCTCTCCAGCTGGCTGCATGGTCAGGTGGGTGAAAGGGAGATGAGAGCTCAGATAAATGGAGTCATACCCAGGATCTGTGCAAGGGTACTCGGTGTCAAGTGCAACTTTGCTGAAGAGGAGGTGCCACTCAGCAGGTGTAATTAATCAGTGTCATTAACCTGCCAGCCCAAGAGCTGATTTCAGTTGTCTCATACGTATGACACGGTGCAGATATAAAATCTGAGCACTTACCAGCCTTTATGTACTTGAAAAGTTATTAATTTGTCTTCTGAAGTACAGAGGACATTCAGTGTTTTTGCAAACGCATTTGAAATATCCTCTATTGGCCACTAAGAGCTTTCTTTTACTTCTCTTTTATAGTCCTGCACTTCTACTGGCAGACTCACTTTTCTTCAAAAGGTTATGCTGGGGAAGCAGCACAGCTGGGATTTCTCCCTTACATCCCACAGTGTGATGGCCTGGGAAACTGGGAGCCAACTCAGTGCTATGAGAGCACAGGTGAGCAATTCCTAACAAGATGCTCTGGGGTGGATGAACAAATCAAAACTAAGAAAAATTCTAATAAAAAGATAGAAAATCAGGATTCTTGTAGTCAAACTGGAGAAAGGTGATGTGGTCTACAAGATGTGTGGAAAACTGACTAGAGTGAGGGATTCATGTGACAGCTCACTGGGGCACAAAAATTAGTAGATATTCAGTTGCTTGCTGCTATTTGTGTTCCTTGGGGCTCATTCCAGGGGCTGGTATTGCTTAGGAGCTTCATTCATGACCAGGATGATGAGATGGAGTGTATCCTCATCCAGTTTGTGGATGATGCCAAATTTCTGGGAGTAGATGATATGCTGCAGGATAGAGCTGCAAAGGGGGAGTCTCACCAGAGCTGCTACATCTCCATTCTCACTACTGCTCTCAGGTGTGGTCTACTGATCCCTGGATAGCAGAGTTAACTGTGACTTAGATTTATTGGGCCCTTTCTATAGTTCTGCTGAGGCTGAAAATCTTAGCAGTTTGCAACAAAGCACACTGCAATATATCATTTAAAATAAAGCTGCTCTTCTTCCCTGGCCAGGTCATTGCTGGTGTGTGGATGAAAGAGGACGTTATGTCATGGATTCCTTGGTCTCACGCTCAGCAGAACTTCCCAAATGTGAGTCGGTTTTTCTTCCTAAACATTTGTCTTTACTTGTTCTTACAAATTTTAATATAAATTGAAAATTCTAGTATAATATACATGAAGTAAGGCTTGCTTCTAACTACTGCAAGAAAAGAGAAAGGAATGTTATGCTTACTTTGCTAATTCATTTCATTTAATTAAGTGTGATTTTGGCTTGCATGATTTGAGAGTGGACCCTCTACTGTTGGTGGCCCTGCCTGAGCAGGGAGATTGGACCAGCTGTCCAGCCAGACATCTCCAGATGTCCCTTCCAACCTCAGCCATTCTGTGGTTGTCAAACACTGATCAGGAATTCCCTACCTCAGCCTACTGCAAATGTGTAAAGGAGATGGTGATGTAAATGTAAATGTAAATGTATGTTTTCCCTCTCACAGGCCAGACTTCATGTCAGCGATCTCAAACCAATGCGTTAATTTCCAACTGGAGACAGAGTGGCTCAAAGCTGGATGTGTCTGCAGCTGATCTGTTCATCCCCGACTGCCTTGAGGTGATTTAACGTGACTAAGGAAGGAAGCAGTTTGGCTCACAGCATGCCAAAGTCCTGTACACTTTCAGCCCATGCTCCCAAAGCATCCTTTGTGCATTTATTAATCTGAAAGAAAAGGGTAAGGCAAAACCAACAGCAGGCGTTGCCCTGCAGAAGGCAGAACTTCAATAGTTCTGAGGTGAAGACTGGGAAGAGGAAGCTCTGTCCCTGCTCACGATTCCCTCCCACAGGCTGGCTGTGCCTGGTGCTTTTGCAGAGCTGTGCTTGAAGTGCACACCTTAATTGACTGACATTTGGGGGCTCTTTCTTCCTGAGCTGTGAGAGAATGACAGGAGAGCTGGGTGCAGGTATCTCAGAATAGGATCCATGATGCTCTCAAAATGTGGCAGTGAGCAGGATAGAGGTGGGCAAGGAATAGACATTTCATGTAATAGAACCATTATCATATAGAATCATGTAATCATTTAGGTTGGAAGACTACAAAGATCATGAAACCCAACTGTTACCCCAGCATTGTGGAGTCTACCACTAAACCAGATCCTTAAGCACCACATGTACATGTTTTTTGAACACATTTCAATCCAGGATTTTACCAGAACTTCATCTCAATGGGATTTTAGTTTGCATCCTATTTAATGTTTGGACTCGATGATCTTAGAGGTCTTTTTCAACTTAAATAATTCTTGATTCTGTTGGGGACTAGGCTGTGTATTTAATTAGATAGATTGTTCTTTGTGGTTTTTTTCAATGTGTTATATTAATGGACAAATTAATACAATAAAAATACAACAAAATAAATACAATAAAATAATGAAAATAAATAATACATTTTAACTAAACTTTGGGGTATGGATTGAGGCATGTCTGTTATTAAAACACATTGCTCTGCAATGACATGTCCTTGATTTTTTTTTTTTAGACAGGAGAATACTCTGTGCTACAGAGATCCAGCACAGGTATTTGGTGTGTGGATCCTGCGTCAGGAGAAGTATTTCAGCGTGGCAGCAAGGCCTTGGATGGCAATCCCGAGTGTGAGTAATGCTTTGCCCGCCACCTGTGGTGCTTGTGGAGATGCCTCGTTCTTAGCAGCATATGTGCTTCCCTTTTCAGAACGCTGCCTGTGAAACTTGGGAGGCTTGTAGTTTAATTCCTCAGTGATACACTGCATGCAAGCACATCAACACTGAAAGGGTATCTGAAAATAATTACCCCTTGCTTTCATAACACCAGAAATAAACTAGTTTAGACAAACTGATGGACAGGCTGCTCTCCATTTTTTTTAACTTCCATTTCTTACCACCATAGAAAATTCTGAGGGTTTTCTAAGGCAGTCTTCTACTCTGTATCTTGCAATGAATTTCTCTCTTTAAAGGTCCCAGTTTCTGTAGTGTGCTGAAGTCTAAAACTGTTTCACGAGACTCTGCCAAAGGCTACATCCCCCAGTGTGAGGGGGAGGATGGGAGTTTCTCGCCTGTGCAGTGCAGCCAGGACCAGGAGAGCTGCTGGTGTGTCTTTGGCAACGGAGAGGAGGTGCCAGGGACACGAGTGAGCGGAGGGAGACCAGCGTGTGCAAGTGAGTTCCTGCTTGAGGCACATGAGCAAATCCAGGTCTGGAACTGGACCCAGATCCTAAATTTTTCCACTCTTTGGTTGTATCTAATCTTATTTCTTCAGACACCTCGAGACTTTTACTCAAGCAACATGTTTATCTTTGCCCGGACCTGCCTGGGCACAATGTCCAGTTTTCTTCAAGGGCTTTGTCAGGGAAAAATGAGAAGGGAATGGATCTTTGACTTTTCCTTATTCATAAAATTGATTGAATCAAAAAGTTGATTTATAAAACCCAGCTACAACGTCAATCTGAACAGCTTGCTGCAAACTTGAACCTGTTCCAGTCTGAGCTGGCTCTGGGATTAAAAACCA